ACAGTCTTGGGCCCCAAGCTGATCAAGTGCTTCCAATGCAGCTTGCTGCCACTGTTGCCTGGATGTGCTGCCACACACAATCTCATCATTGGGGGCAGTTAGACTTGTTTGATACATGCTTTCAACAAACCTAGGTATTTCGTATGGTTTTTTGTTTACTATTGCCATGGATCATGCTGCTTTCAAGGGAAGTCCCAAGGCAGAGCTTCCCCAAGAAGCCTTATTCATTCTCCCTCCCAAAGGACCCCTTGAAACCCCCAGTGTTGCTTCACAAGAGGCAAGCCTCTGGCTTTGAGACCCTGCCTCCTTTCTCTTTCTTTGGCTTCTTTCTTCTTTGCTTAGCTCCCAAGAAAGGGGGTGTTTTTCTCTTCAAAGGGGAGGATCAGAGTGGTGCTGACATCCCAGATAGCGTAGCAGACTACTCATCTCCAAACAAATAGGCTTTTTTGTGCTGCTGCAAGTCCCTCTGTCCTTCCTTGAACTCCTTTCTCTCTACTGTGCCCTCCCTGGGACTACCTGTTCATTTCCTTACCACTCTCAGAGCCTCACTCCTTCCACAGGCAGTCAGCCCCACTCGCAATAAAACTTTGTGCAAAACTATAGTATTAACCCAGGGACTAGCACTTGCCCAAACAAATGAAGCATAAAGTTATGGGAAACTAATCCAGGAGCAACCTCTGTGGCCTGCTGCCAGACCCAGACTACTCTCTTCCTTTAGGGCAGCGGTTCCCAATCTGTGGTATGCATACCACCAATCGTATGCAGACAACTTGTCAGTGGTACGCGTTAACAGATTTATTATAATTACTTGATATGACAAAAATTTGCTGGTGGTACTTAAGGTTGAACTAAAAAATTTGGTGGTGGTAAATAAGGCTGTATCATTTTAAATTGGTGGTGCATGTGCGGGCCGGCTCCCAATCTCAGGGGCAAGCCGGGCCCGTCTCACAGGCTGCGGCCGGCAGCCCGGGCACACGGGGCTGGAGAAAACCGCGGCGCGGTATGGTACGCTCGAGCTAGAATCAGTCACGGAGGCGTAATGGTTGATTGAAAAGACTATTTACTTATACCCAAGGTGGTCGCGGTGTAGGCTGGTCAGCTTTCCAGGCACAGCTCCGCTTGAGTTCTCGGTGGAGGACTCTAATAGACTCGGTTCCTGACCCCAGAGCGGTTTAGGCTCCGCGGGTTCAACAATTCTCGTTCACGGAGCAGCTGTATCTCCGTGGGTTACACTCGGTTCCCAGGTCCACCGGAGCTGTTAAGACTCCGTGGGTTCGACAGTTGGGTCCATAGGATAGGGATACATCTAGGATTGCGGTCGGCGACGGGGGGAGGCTAGAGGTTATATGCCCCGGAGTTCTTAAGGCTCCGGGGGTTCGGAAATTAGGTCCCCCGGAGTTGTTGAAGCTC